CCTTTTGTCCCTCAGACTGGGCCTGAAGGATTCAGAGCACTAACACCAATTTCTGACAGTATACATAACAGGCAGATATAGAGATATTTCTGTTAGGCTGAACAAACACATACAAATGACCAAGTCCAGAGGCAAAAAAAAAAAAAAAAAGTGATTTCCTGCCTTGTGCTCAGTTTTAAGAAAAAAACAAAACAACAACAAAAAACAACAATTTCCTAGGAAACCCCCTTAGAGATATGCTTCTCGTGCTTCATTAAGAATTGTGTCTCATACCTATTCCTAAATAAATAAAATTATCATAATTAGTTGAGATTGAAAGTCACCTATTTCTGGGACACCTGGCTGGCTCAGTTGAAAGAGCATGTGACTCCTGATCACAGGGTTGTGAGTTCGAACCCCATGTTGGGTGTAGAGATTACTTTAAAAAATAAAAAAGAAAGTCATCTATTTCTGAGGCTATAGAAGGGCACAATCTTCCTAAAGACTGATGCCTTAACAAAATTATAGTTCAGTTAGCAAGGAAGAAGAGATATGTGGATTTAGATAGGTAACTTTTATAACTTTACAGGAAAAATATCCAAAAGAATTTCTCTCTCCAACTTCAAGGAGAAGTAATGTAAGTATTTCAAATTAATTATAACAATAATAATCAATATTAAAACAAAACACTGCAACAATTCAAGCTTGGGAAAATATATATGTTCTATAAAGCACTGCAATAAAACTGTTTCTGGTATTTCTTGTTCTCCTAGGAACTACTGGCTCATAATATATAAATATTTAAAAGCAGTTTTTAAAACATATGGTATAACTTCAGTATTCATAATGACTCAGAGAGCTTTGAGGTATTTTTGAAAATTGACATTCATGGCAGACCACCTCTACGGTCTACCACAGCATACTGGGTAAACATATCATGTAAAACACATATTGTTTACATAATACATATCATCATAAAAAGTTGCAGTGTACATACCAGACTTTTCTACTATACTATGTTGGACTATTAATAACTCAAATTTACATCCCAAGGGGCTACCATGCCCCAATTCAAACTTAAAAACAGCTGTGCAAACAAAGCAAGGGTGAGGGGCAGGTGTATAAGATATGAAGGGAGAGACACATGACACACTTGACCTTCAGAGATATAATTCCATGGAACCCAAGTGCTAGATATATGACAGGAAATATGCTAACTTTGTGCATGCAAACCCCTTGCCCTGTAAGTTAGTTTAATATAATGATCAAACTGTACAGTGATGGATTTCTATTTTAGTAAGGAATAGAACTACATAGTATACACTGTATATACAAAACGAGACTATATCCATATTCTATCTATCCAAATAGTTACTGCAATATAGTCCATAACAAACTGCTATTGTCTGCCTTAACATACACACACACCCCCCAAACACACACACCCCTTCTCTTCAACAAAGAAGCTATCAAAATTCTAGTAGTATTCATAATTATCTTGGATATTCTTTTGCTTGTCCTAGCTTTTCCCCCTTGATTTTGTCTAGTTTCTAGCCCTTAAGTTTATTATGCATTTATTACATGGTATCCTGCCCTCTATGTTTGGTTTCCCCAGGTTTTATTCTGAGCTCCATATTTTAAGGACTTTTTTTGGGCTAATTACTCTAGCACTCTGCACCCTGGACTTTGATACACCCTCCTGGGCCTCTTTTGGGTTCAGCCTTTGGTTTGGATACACAAACTGGCATGTGAATAGAGTCTCTAAGTCTGTGCACGGGAGAGGTTGAAATGACTATAAATAATATTGAATATATTTCTACAAATCATCTTTTCAAATTCTGTATGTCTTCTTATGGAACCATAATAAATATCTTGTTTTCAAACATGCTGTTCATCAGAATTACCTACAGAGCTTTTTAAAAATATTTATATTCAAGTGCTATTCCTGGAGATTATAATTCAGAAGGTCAGAAGCAGGTCTCTGGCATCTGTATACTGAAAGTGTCATATTTGATCCAGCTGGGCAGCCAGAATTGAGAAACACTGTTATAAAAATTGCAGGAGATGGTTCATATCTTCTTCCTTTTCCTATAGCCAAGATAAGGCAAGAAAATGGAGATAAAGGCGTGGGAAAGAGAAAAGGGAGTAAGTTACCTTTGCCATCTGGCTTTTGAGATGAGAAAATGTGGCAGTCCAAAGCTAGGCAAAACTGCAACACAAATAAAGGTTGCTTTTGTTACTCCTATCACTTATTTTTCTCCTATCTTTTGGCTTTCCACCTCTTTTCTTGACCTCCAAAGTATTTGAAGGTACTCGTGTTGTATGTATCTCCACCTACTACATCATAATACTCAGTTCTGTTGCTTTCTGCTTATTCTTTGCTTTCCTGACAAGCAAAACTCCCAACCTTCTGTTTGTTTCAGGTATGCATAAGGAAAACAAGCAGCACTAAGATACTAATACTTGCTTTTGTCAGTTAAGCCTAGTATTACCAGTTTACCTGATAATCTCAGTGATTCTCAGTTAAGATATTTTTGATAAGAAAACCTTTCCCTGAATTAATTCTGTCTGTAAGGAGGGAAAATGAGTCTGTAGCTGCCAGTCACTGTTGTTACAAACCTTCCCAACACTTTTTCTTATCTAAATCCTCTGACTAAAAATGTCCTATCCACTTAGTGAACAATGGCAACTTCCACTCTAGAGAAGGAAAGGATCCAAGACCAAAGCTTGAGATCTGTTAACTGAGAGACTTCCATTTCCGAAGTATGAAAATCTGTAGTTATTTGGTTTAACTAATTTTCCCAGAAGACCCAAAGATTATTCTATGAATAACTAGATACTAAGTAAATAAACTAAGAGAACCAAAGAGAGATTCTGAGGAAATGACTTATGGGTAAACTGAAATCAGAAAATGGAGGAGTCATTCACTCTAAAAGCTGCCCCTTTCTACCCACTGAAATGACCATTAGGATTATCATTATCACTGCTGAGAAAGACGTAAGGAAAAATAAGATGGGAAAAAAGACAAAGAGAAACAGTAACTATGGAAAGCAAAGAGAAGCAAATGTGATTTTGAACACTTATCACCCCAAGCCTTTGTTTACTGTCTGCGATACCCTTCCCACTTCTTCGTCTGATTAACTCCTACTGATCTTTTAAGTCACAGTGGGTTTGCCACACTGGGAACATAACCTCAACTCCCACCCCCCCATCACAGACTAAGCTACATGTTATTCTGCTATAACACAAGTATAATATTCTGTCTTACAGCACTTACTACACTCTTTTGAACTAATGTTGGAGGATTAGGAAATAGAGGGAAACACTCTTTCCATATTTTGTGTTCTCCAAACTCTACAGTGAAATGACCATCTGTTCACTAAATTCTGATTTACTGAAAGAAAAGTACCATTGTTTTCAGAAAATATAACTATTTAGGATTGAATAAATAAAAAATAGCGTATGAGGGGCGCCTGACATTAAAGATCTTATACTGTAGGACAATACTTCTGGATTGAAGAAAACACTAGGCATCTATACCTACCCCAAATGAGCCAATTATTAAAACAAAACAAAAACCCATTTAACTGTACCTATAGAACAGGAAGCTGTTGAACTAAGAACCAAACCTCCCCTACATAAAATCTTACCTTATTGCTGATGCAGGAAAACACTACTCATTTAATATTTTAAAAGCTATACAACTGTGATTGTATTGAAGGTCATTCTTCATTTCTTTTAGGAAAGATGTACAATAAGACTGTAAAATAATGTAAATATTTGTGTATATACTTTGGTATAAATACTTTTTTTCTATTTTAGGTTCACTTTTTTCCCCAAATTTTTACATTGAAAATTTTTGTACTCAAAGTTGGAAGTAATGGCATAACAAATATATATATTCTCCATGTAAATCAAATTGTTAACTTTTTGCCAATTTGCTTTCTCTCACTCGTGTATCTCCATATATTCCCAACTTTACTTTTGTGCACCTTGTCCTAAAAATTACTTTTTAAGACACATAAAGAATTCAAATTCAATGAACTTTTATCTCACAAAAATCTTTGTCGGTTTTAAGGATGACCTGTCTCATCCAGTCAAATTTCAGTAGAATTATACAATCATAATTTTTACTTCTTGAATATGGCTAAATGAAAAATAATTAAAATTTCATATTCACCTGGGTTTTAAAACTGAGAAGAGCATACAATACCATCCACATGCACACATCTTCCTGATGTAAAAATTCTTAGCAAGGGATGGTTGATGTTGATAAAGACTTCCTTATACCAATAGAAAAGAGAACTGCTAATGTTAATAGACTAAATAACCATCTAATCTGAACCAGTGGTTTTGAAAGCATATCTCATGGAGAGATAGAACATATAAAATGGATCAGACAGAGGAGTTTCAGGAGCCGCTCTGGATGAAGGGCTATGAGATGCTTCAAGTCCTACCAGAGTACTCTGTATTTTGTTCCTCAGGTACCTTCTCAGTCCAGGGAGTAGTTTGAATACTATTTTGATGCAACTGCACAGTTATGCAGATTTTTAAAATCAGAGTATGTTGACTCTTCAAAATACAGTAAGGAAGTTTGGTGGGGTTTTTTTTGAGAAATAGTAATACAGCTTACAAAACAGAGGCTTTAGAAATGAAAGCAAACTTTGCAACTATATATTCATCTCAAAATAATTTAGCTTTACTATTTAAGCAAATATATATCATACAAGTATTTTTAAACAGAAGTTCTCTAAAATGTGCCACATAAAATTTTTAAGTATTTGCAGTTTTTAGCATTCATTAAGACCATTTTATGAACAAAGAAACTATAATAAAATACATAAGGTGATAGCACATCAACTTGCATTTGATGTAACATTAAAATTACAAGAATATTTAGATCAGGTATTCTCTCAAATGTTAATTCAAAATGTTATTGTCAACAATAAGAAAAAAGGAGAGACAGAAAACAGTCGTTATGCTCAAATAAATATAATTAAGAGATATGGGAAACTTTGTACCTTTATGTGGTTTTTCAAACTCTTCAGATAAGAGGTGGTAGCAACAACCCACACTGCAAACTCCCTTGATTTCAGACTTGGAAGTAAATATTCGCAGAGTATTTGGAGCAAGATCACCGCAAGTATGTAGACCTACCATCAAACAATCCTTTGAAAATGAGAAGAAAAAATAAATTTTGGCAATTAGGAGGAAGCCTAAAAAAAATTTCAGGTGAAGATATTAAATGTTCATTGGAATATACAGAGCTTTTAAAAATGATCAAATTCTACCTAGAAAGTAGTATATGTTTTTTATTTTAAATTTCCTTTATAGGCAAAATGACTGTGATCTTTTATCACAACTAACATACTTTTGAATTGATTTTCTAATGTTTTTGGTTACTTATCCATTTGAATTTTCTCTGATCTCTTTTACAACTAATATTTGCTTAATAACTAGCCAAATTAAAGACTGGATAGTCAAATGAAGCACGTATTACTAGAACAAACTTGTGATTTGAGATACATTTACAGCTTCTAGTCAATATTTTTATTTACCTCTTCACAAACTGCCTACCGAAACTTATAAAATACTGCCGTACAGAATAAGTGGTGCTAAGTTGGCATTTCTACTCCAACACCAAAAAAGTATAGTTTATTCGTTACATCAAATATAGCAATATTAAATTCAATAAAAAAAATTTTTTAATGTACACACATACAGAATGGGCACATACATACATTCACAGATCTTAATCAATATACCAAGTTTGTTTTAACTCTTCAGTGTCTTAACTTCCTCATCTGTAAAATGAGGATAATAGTACCTATCTCAATGGGCTGTTGTAAAATTTAAGTAAGCTAATACTGGTAAATGACTTAGTACAACCTCTGGCACACAATAAAATTCAGTACATGTTTTCTATTCTTATCATCATCATCATGTTATTATAAATTCAAAATAATAGACATGTTAAGTTGTGAGTAAAGTATATTTTTATAACTATCTTCAGAACAAATGCAATTATTTTATTTAAGTTATTCTACTAAAAATGTTTTTTTACGCCATGTATTCTAGACCTTAAGCAAAGCTTAAGTCTAAACTTTATAAACAAAAAAAATGTACCTGTAAGTAGCTTTGACCTGATAGAACATTCAGTTGCTTCAACCGCCACTGTCTTCAAAGTTTTTGGAGGGTTGTGCAACTACTTTGTTTTCTCAATGACTAGGCAGTTTGGGTAGGTTTTATTTAGATGTTACAACATTGTAAGTAGAAGGGAATTTAGAGAGGGAGGGTCTATTACTAATTACAGGTAGAACAACAGAGGCATAAATCTCTCTCTTTAAACTTAGCTTAGCTCTCCCTAAAGATATTACAAGAAAATTTAATCTCATTCTTTACTATATTCATCATATACTATTAGTTAATAACATTATCAGGTGTCAGACAAAAATATGCAATCACTATTTTATCCTAATAGTAAAATATTTAAATATTGTATATGTATGTTATGGGGAGGGGAGGAAAGGTATTGGTTAATTTGGGTTATTAAACTGCTAATTCACTACAGAACTCAAGAAACATTCTTCTAGCTAATCTTATATTAGATTCTTATAATAGTTTGTATATAGCCTCTGATCATATTTCTTGGCCCTTTAGATTAATGTAATCAAAAAGATAAAGTTAAGTAAGCTACTATTAATATTTAATTCCATGTCTTAGAGCATTTTTATAAATTAAGGAATTCAAAAGTGAAATCACCTCCAGATCTTTAATAATATCATGTAGTTCTGAATCAGCAGTGATAAAAGATGTTAAAGGTGAATATATATTTGATTCATTTGACTTTGATGTCAGTTTTCTTCTCTCTTTATTTGCTTCAGACATTTTTCTCTTAGGTGTTTGGAATGAAGTAGGTTCTATGGCATTAATAGGCAAAAGGTCTATAAGAGCAAAGGCATTTTCAAAACACAAGTTTTCTTCTCGATGTGAATACACATGTAGGTTTTCCATTTGTGTTCTAATGTTAGAAATTAGAGAATCCGAAAAATCTGGCAAAAAACCTGAGGCAGACATCTTTTCTTGATTTGCAGGACTGTTGTTACATATTCCCTCAATATCTACTTTATACTTAATTTCATTCTGCACTTTCCTTTCTTTTGCCATTTTTAATGCCAGTCCATTGACATCTAATTTTGACCGAGTATGGTAGACTTTCCAATGTTTCTTCAATTTCCTGTTTCTCTCCTCAGCTCCATGAGTATTGGTATTTGATGAATCAATTCCATAAACTTTTAAGCCATACTTCAAGGACAAAAAAGAGCTTAGGTAGCCTTTTCCAGAACCCAGGTCAATTACCTAAAGTAAGAAAAACAGAATGAAATAAAGGATTTTAGTCAGATGAGAACAGAAAGCATTCTCAATATCTTTTTAAAAAGCAAGTAAAGAAATGGTTGTGTAATTTATACAACCTGTTATGTTTGTTTTTTAATTTTTGATTCCTACTAAAAACCAACCATTTTCATCATTTTTATTTGACATTTTAAAGGAGGTTCTAGACACTATAATAAGTCAAGGAATAGACGTAAAAGATATAAATATGGGAAATAAAACTGTCTTTCTTCATAGATGACATGATTGCATCTGTAGAAAATCTAAAGGAATATACAAAACTAACAACTAGCAAGTGAATTTAGCAATGTGTCAGGATACGGGATCATTAGAAATTCATAATGAACCAAAAGAACATATACAATATAGTAGCAAAGAACAATTAGAATATAAAATTTAAAACCAACTGAATTAAAATAGCAAAAAAATATAATATCTAGGAATAAATTTAGTGAAGGTTCTGCAAGGCCTATTCACTGAAAACTTTAAGCAGAGAAAAAATTTAAAAGATCTAAATAAAGATACACCATGTTCACGAAATGGCACAGACTTAAAATGAAGATGTCAATCCCCCAAAATGACTTGCAGATTCAACACAATCCTAATCAAAACCCCAGCAGGGTTTCTTAAAAAATTGACAACTAGATATTATAGTTTATATGAAAAGGCAGAGTACCTAGAATAACCAAAACAATTTTGAAAAAGAATAACGTTGGAACATTTATCCTGATTCAGGAATTAATATAAAACTACAGTAATCAAAAACAGCATAGTGCTTTAATCAAAACAGATAAATAAATCAACAGAAAAGAACAGCATACAGAAATAGACCCAAACTTATATAATCAACTGATTTTTGACAAAATAGCTAAGGTAATCCAATAGAGAAGATAATCTTTTCAACAAATGGTGCTAGTATAATGGATGTCTGTCCGGGGAAAAAAGTGAACTTTACCTATCACACAGCAAACACAAAACTTAATTAAAAGTGTATGGACACCGGGGAGGGTATGTGCTATGGTGAGTGCTGTGAATTGTGTAAGACTGATGAATCACAGACCTGTACCTCTGAAACAAATAATACATTATATGTTTAAAAGAAAAAAAAAAGAAGAAGATAGTAGGAAGGGAAAAACGGAGGGGGGGAAATCGGAGGGGGAGATGAACCATGAGAGACTATGGACTCTGACAAACAAACTGAGGGTTTTAGAGGGAAGGGGGGAAGGGGGTTGGGTTAGCCTGGTGATGGGTATTAAAGAGGGCACGTATTGAATGGAGCACTGGGTGTTATACGCAAACAATCATGGAACACTACATCAAAAACTAAGGATGTAATGTATGGTGACTAACATAACAATAAAATTATAAAAAAAAGTATATCACAAATCTAAATGTGATAGTAAAAACTATTAAATTTTGGAAGAAAGCATGAGAACCATTTTTGTGACACTGAGGGGGCAAAGATTCCTTATGCAGGACATAAAAAGTATTTGCTTTTACAAAAGAACTAACTGAAAAAACAGACTTCATTAAAATTAAAAATTTTGCTATTAAAAGTACATAGTTAAAAAAAGAAATATTTGCAAAACATATATCTGACCAATGGTTTGTATCCAGAATATACAAAGAACTCTTACAACTCAAAAATAAGACAAGCAAACAACTTAACAATTGGCAAAATATTTAAACGCACACTTCACAAAAGAAGATATACAAATGGGCAATATGAAAAGATGCCCGACATCACTAGTCATCAGGGAAATGCAAATTAAAATCATAATGAGATACACACAAATGTAAAGTGGTTCAGGCACTTTGAAAAACACTGGTAGCTTATCCTAAAGGTAAAACGTACACCTATTACATGACCTACAAATCCCAATTCAGGCTCTCTGCCAAAGATAAATGAAAACATGTTCACACAAAGTCTTATATGTGAATATTCATAGCAGCTAAAAAAAAATGGTAACATCGCAAATGTCCATCAACTTGTAAGTGGCAAAACAAATTGTAGTATATCTATACCATGTCCTAAAGAGAAACAGAGTAAATACAACATTGATGACTCTCAAAAGTTATGTGCTGAAGGAAACAATTCAAACACAAAAGTCCTCATCCTATTTGATTCCACCTATATGACGTTCTAGAAAATTCAAAACTACGGGTATTGTGTAAGACTGATGAATCACAGACCTGTACCCCAAAACAAATAATATATTATATGTTAATTAAAAATATATATATATAAAGGGCAAAAAAAAAAAGAAAATTCAAAACTACAAGCAGGTCAGGGGTGCCCAGCTAGTTCAGTTGGGAGAGCATATGCCTCTTGATCTCAGGGTCATGAGTTTGAGCCCCATGCTGGGGGAGGAGTTTACTTCAAAACAAAACAACAACTACAAGCAGGTCAGTAGTTACCTGAGAATGGAGAAAGAAATAGCTTGTGGAAGGGCATGAGGAAACTTTTTATGATGGCAAATATTTTTGATTATGGTGGTGGTTACACAACTGTACACACCAAGTTCATCAACATGTACACCTAGAATTGGTGAATATGTAAATTATACCTCAATAAAACTAAAAATAAGAAAATTAAATATTACCGAGATTGTTACTGTACTGCCATGTCATTTCATAAGAAATAAATAATTACAGGAATACTATCATAAGAAATCAGTATCTAATTTTATGTCTATCCTAAAATCAGTTAAACACTGATAAGTATGAGCCACTCCAGGAAACATTTTTTTTTTTTTTTTTTAAAGATTTTATTTATTTATTTGACAGAGAGATAGAGAGCACAAGTAGGCAGAGAGGCAGGCAAAGGGGGAGGGAGAAGCAGGCTCTCCGCCGAGCAGGGAGCCCAATGTGGGACTCGATCCCAGGACCCTGGGATCATGACCTGAGCCGAAGGCAGACGCTTAACCGACTGAGCCACCCAGGTGCCCCCAGGAAACATTCTTATATCTGAAGTAATTCCATTAATTAAATCCTCAAAAATTTTAGGGTCTTGCAATTCAGGCAGTTCATAGGTAAGACTCCAATAAATAATTCCCATAAATAAGCTTACAAAGAACTCCCTCTGCCCTTTTTTATGTTCATCTCTGGGCTAGGTATTATGAGAAATACAGAAGCATTATATATCTTGATTTTAAGGAATTACAATCTAACTGAAGATACCATACCTATACTCATGAATACAAGGGCTATACAGTAGAAACTCTTAGTCAGTTCTCTCCTATCTGAAACTCCAGAGAAAGCAAAGCTCTCTATTCCTTTCCTTCTATGAAACACACTTACTGATGCTGATGACAACCTTAAAGTTAGCAACCAGTGGGTTGCTTACAAGCATCAGTACATTTGTTCCTATCAGTGTAAATGTTTTCTTACCAAGAGGCAATTGAGTTTGTTCCTCTATCTGTTTATGGCAATTCCACTTGTGAGTCAAGAATATCCTGGCTGCAAGTAACAGAACATCAAGTTTTGAACAATGAAGAAAATCCACCCCACTTAAGAAATCTGGCAGTACAGTGGCTGAACCATTCAAAGGCTCAACCACAAACAGCCTTGGGGGCATCTTATTTGTAATTTCTCTGGTTGTGAGATGGCTGTAGAAACTCTAAGAATCATGTCTTCACAGTATTATATCTAAAACCTTTTCAGTAATGGGCGAATTCTCCTAGGAAATCTATCAGTTGACTTACACTCCTATTTTATTGATCCAAGTTGACTTTTATCCCCTCTCCAGATTTGTCTAATTTAGTAGCATATGTGGTATCAGCAACACAATGAAAACATCTATGCAATTAAGTAACATAAGCCATACAACATTTTGCCTTCAAACTATCTGATCTGAAGAGCAAAATCTCCACCATCCTGATCTCCTATTATCCTTTACTCACAGCAGTCTTTTCCTTCCTGATCATTTTATGGGTTTGAGAATAAAGGATTTTCCAGTCCAATGCCTGGTGGGAGGTATCTTCCTAGTCTCCTAATTCTGTTTAGGAGACTTTCCCACAGAAACATTGTTACACAGAGTGGGGACATTTCTTAACACTATTAGTACAGTAATACACTTCATATAGAAGAGTTACATATTGGGCGCCTGGGTGGCTCAGTTAGTTAAACGACTGCCTTCGGCTCAGGTCATGATCCTGGGGTCCTGGGATCAAGCCCTGCATCAGGCTCCCTGCTCAGCCGGAAGGCTGCTTCTCCCTCTCCCACTCCCTCTACTTGTGTTCCCCCTCACGCTCTATTAAATAAATAAATAAAATCTTAAAAAAAAAAAAAGTTACATATTTTTTTGAGTCTGCCGTTTTTAATAAAAATTGTATTTAAGGTATACAACATGATGTTTTGATATACATAGTGAAATGACTACTACAGGCAAGCTAATTAACATAGCCATCCCTTCACACAGTTACATCTTTTTTGTTTTGTTTTTAAATAAGGAGGTTCATAGTATCTTTTTTTATTAGTTGCAGAGATAGAATTTAGTGATTCATCAGTTGCATATAACACCCAGTGCTCATGACATTAAGTGCCCTCCTTACTGCCCATCTCCCAATTATCCCTCCCCCTCCCTCCAGCAACCCTCAGTTTGTTTCCTTGAGTTCAGCATCTAGAAGAGCTATATTTTGTTATCTGACCTAGAGATCTAATTACCATTCTAGGCTAATGACTTTCAAATTTGTAATTCTAGTATGAAATTCTCCCATGAACTTTATACTCATATAACCAACAGTCTACTAAACATTTATACTTCAATATCTAATAAGAATCCCAAATTTAATGTGTTCAAAACTACGTTCTTGATATTCTCTGTAAAACCTGCTTTTCCCATAATATTCTCCATCATAGTTAATGGTATCTCCATACTTATCTCCAGGTGGAAATTACGACTCCTTTCTTTCTCTCATACCCTATGTGTGAAATGTGAGCAAATCCATAATCTTAGCAACTGCACCCTAAGCCTGCCTTACTGCAACAACCTCCTCAATAGTCTCTCTGCTCCTTTCCCTCAAGTCTATACTCAGGAGAACAAAACAAAGTCTGATCATACCACTCCTCTTAGCAAAATCTCTCTTCAACTCTTTAACCTTATCTCTTCCTTACTAACCTCTTTTGTTATTGGGATTTATGCCTTAACTCTGAAAACTCTTCACATGCTCAGGTAGGAGCCAATTTCTGAAAAGAACCAGCTTGAATGTCTACAAAGACTATGGTTAAAAAAGGCAAAGACAGTGAAAATATCTGCTTTGTAACAGTTCTCAACACAGCAACCAGAGTGATCCAGTGTGTCCAACGGTTTCTCATCTCTTTCAGGATAAAAGCCCAAAATATCACAATGACCTCTAACACTCTACAACTTTATGACCTGCCTTCTACCACTCCAACCACAGCTCCTACTGCTTTGCCCTTGCTCTCTCCAATGGAGCTGATCCGGCTTTCAGGCTGTTTCAAGAACACACCAGACATACTCCTACTCTAGGTCCACTGAGCATGTTATCCGTTCTATCTGAAAAGTTTTTTGTCCAGATATTCTAATGGGTAACTCTCTTACCTCCTGAAGGAGGCCTTAATTCAAATGAGTTTAAAACGAGTTCTTAGTTGTTCCTCCCTTTCTTAGCAACAGCTTTAATCTCCCATCTCTGAATTAGCTACTTCCTTTGCTTTTTATTTTTTCTCTTTAAAGTATACCAACACACACCAAAAAATATACGTATAATCACTTTATGATCTATCTTTCCCCATTAGAATATAAATGCCATGGGGCAAAGATATCATTAGTTTTGTTCATTACTGCATCCTCAGTATCTGTAATAGTGTGTGACACATGGTAGGAGCTAATGAAGTATCTGTTAAATGGATGCATGCATGCAGGTATGAATGAATGAACATATTTTGGAAATAAAAATTAAGAAGCCTTGGTAATGTGCGTGAGAGAGGCAAAGGTTTTTGGCATGTAGGGAGCAATGTAGCTGGGACAAAAATGAATTCTGTTTTGTTTTCTTCTCTGGTGTCTATGGTCACTAGTAAAGTTAGGTATTTCAGAATCTGGGTTTCCATCTAGCCCCATGAAATCTGTGCTTACTAAATCTGCATTTTAAAAGTAAAAGTTGTACACATATAATAGACCTTAAACTTTACTATTGTGAGATTCAAATACTGCTATAAAGTGATTTCAAGAGAATGACTTTAAGTCTTTAATTTAGGTTATTTCATTCCCTAAGAACAAGCCTCAGTGCTATAATCAAGTCCCCCGAAAGCAGGTCTAACATGATACCTTAAAGTATTTCAAAATTTCTCTGCACTTTAGAAATAAAATAATCTGCTGTGTGAATTTAAAGTTATTTATTACTTAATGTTTCATATAAATAAAGAATAAATGTAGTCTAAATGTAAAGTTATGAAGCACAATAATAAATAGCACTTATCTTAGTTTGGGTTATCACAGAGCACATTCTACAGCAAAGATTTAAGTATAAGCAAATTATTTGGGAGGGAAGTAGAAAACTGAAAAGGAGAAAGGAAGGCAGCCCAATAAAATCTGTGCTATTAAGAAAGATACCACTTGGGAGCTAGTGTACAACACATACCTCAGAATCATCCTACCTGAAATGGCTACATCAACTTTCATCAATCATTAATTCAAGGCTGTTCAAAGGGAAGAATTAATTCCCAGAACCTATATACAAGTAGTACTTTACTTTGGCAGCCAGAGAAAACCCACAGGGGAAAATGCAGATATTGCCAGGTAGAAGACAGGCTGGCACACCATGAAATGTCCGAGAATATTTGGGTTAGGCATCCAATAGTATCTGCTATAACAGTGAACCTACCAGCCATCCTACGAATGAAAATGTATTTCCACTGCACATAACTATGTTTTCCTTCCATATCTCATCTCACTGCTTCCTAGGCCAGAAGTAACAACTATTCTCAAATTATGATTCCCTTGCTTCTTTAATAGCTGTTTTGCATGCATTTTTTGCATTAAGAATATACCATTATTTTGCTTAAAAGCTTTAAAAAAATGGTACCATAAAATATGTAGTCTTCTGTACACTTTAATTTTCCACTCAATTTTATGTTTCTAATATCCATCCATGTAATATGTATGGCAGTAGTTTATTACTGTATAATTGCCCCTTTTACTCCAGCTGAGTATCACTGCCATGGTAAGCCTGTTACTGATCCATGTAGGTACCACTAGGTATGATACGTTAAATAAAAGGTTGAAAATTGCTGCCTTAGCTCTTCCCTCTAGCCCCTAACCTAGAGATCTACGCTGCCATAAGTGGCTCTGCATGCCCAGTCCAAGCTGTGACAGTTTTCTAATCATCCTCAAACTCTCCACAAGTCTGGAAGAGTCCATGAAAAAGATTCTAATGCCTAACAGAAACTGAAGGAGGGAAGATCCTCCACTACCCCCATAGATGTTCTTGTAGAGATAAGAAATATAATTTACTATTTTTACAAGCCAGGGATAAGAAAAATAACTCACTATTTTTATAGGTCAATACAGGCAATCTCTGATTTTATTTTAACATCTGTTTTCAGACAATACTGCTTCACAAAAGCTACTTTTCACAACAGGAATGCACTGTGATTCTGACACTGTGAAAGAATCCAAGTCCTAAAACATAGTTTCTTTGTGTTACTATAATGAGGCAGGTACTCCAGACCATAGCTTGGAAACCCAGGTTCTGAGAACACCCAGTGGCAAACAATTATGCAGAATGTCATTATCATAATGCTGCCTCAAGTTGGAAATTTATTAAAGATAATTTAAAAGAGTGAAATCTGTGGCAAAACATGAATAGTCATATCTTATTTTTAGTATAAATTTGTTATAATCATAGTGTACTGGGAAATGAGAGGACATATTTAAAGTGTCTGACAAAACTAACATCAGCTATTATTTAATGACATTCAAAGGCTAGACAGTGATCATAGATAAGAACGTAAATGTATAACAAAAAAAAAAAGGCACTAATTTTAACACTTGAAAATACAAGGAAATTCTCTTACCTGCTTTATTCCATAGTAATCAGCAATACTGCTGATCAGCTCTGACATAGCCTGAACTTCATGAGATTTTTTCAAATTCATAAATTCATCTGGTTTCACATTTTCACCTGAACAAAAATAAAACAAAATTAAAATACTGCTATTAAAGAAACAAAATGCAACAAAAAATCATCAGTTAATGTTCATGTTTTCTATAATTACATATGAAAATAATAAAGAGATTTCATTGTGCCTGCATGATAGATCTCTATTAGTTTAGCTGCTATGAATCAAAATTTGAATTAACAACATAAATAAGAAGACCCACAGAACATTATTTAAAAAAAAAAAAAAAAGTTCCTTGACAGGCACCTGGGTGGCTCACTTGGTTAAGCGTCTGCCTTCGGCTCAAGTCATGATTCTGGAATCTTGGGATTGAGCCCCACATCGGGCTCCCTGCTCAGCAGGAAGCCTGCTTCTCCTTCTCCCTGCCCCCGGCTCGTGCTCTCTCTTGCTTTCTCTCTCTCTCAAATAAATAAAATCTTAAAATTAAAAAAATTAAAATGTTACTTGATACAAAAAAAACAATTATAAAGGAAAAGACTGATAACTGGACTAAAGTGTAGGGAAAAAATGTGGAGATCTGTAACTAAGTTGTTCTGTATAACATGATGCATAAGAAAACCTACTCATCTAAGTATAAGCCAATCTATCAGTGCTCATGATAGAAGAGCACTGATGGAACAATAAATTAAGAACATGTTAGAATATATGAACATATATGAGCATTATGTTGCTTCTAATACTAAAAAAACATACATACACACTTACCAGTTCTCTGTTTTTTATTTCCTCGAAGGGCTGTAAGCAACTGTTCAAAAGGAGTACATATTCCCAAATTTGGTACAGAATAAGATCTCACAGCCAGAGCAAAGGCCTCCACACTCACCAGCTTCTGGGAAGTCTCACAAAATATTTTGGGAAAATTGGTAATACCTAAAAAGACCAGGATAAAAAGAAATGTTAGCAATATCTAATTAATGCTAATTTGTGTGAGATTTAAAAAATAAATGAAAAACACTGGATCTTTACAAAAAATTATAATATTTCCATTTCAGTGTGAATTTTGACAATATCTCTAATGGTTCCATTGTTTTGTTATTTCAGCTATTAGCTATCTGTAGCAACCAGTTTTCTCTTAATAGTGTACACAATTATATATTTAAATTCTAAATTAAAATTTGGCCTTTTTTTCCTTCCAAAAGCTAAAAAAAAAAGCAGCAGCAGCAGCAGCAAAATAAAAGTTTAAAATCCTGCTACACTGTAATGTGGTCATTAAATTTATGAATGGTCCTGGCTGACCTACAACTGGGAATTTAAAGGCAATCAGTGTGCACTACACTGTTATTCCCTGTGCAGACTGCATGTGGAACAACGGCAATGTCCCCAGTGGTATAAATGTTACTGTAAAAGAGTCCCTGCACCATTTGGACCATAAAGAATTGTGTGTGTGTGTGTGTGTGTGTGTGTGTGTGTGTATGCATGTTCAAAGCACTGTCAATATGAGTTTTAAAAGTTGTCATGTTAAAATCAAGTGAAAACAGTTCATTCCCTTTCCCTGATCAGTTTTAAGCCATATATTCTGTAAGTTTACTATAAGGACTATTGATGATTTCCAAATGCTCACTCATTAAGAAGAGTATGGTCAACTGTCATACCACAAACATCCGCTACCTCTCTTTGTGTGAGGATCACGTATCCTGTTGAACTCTGGTGTGGACACATCTCACCAAAGTGAACTATGCCATTTTCAGACAGAAGTTTTAAGAGAACTGGAGGATTCACCATGCTTTTTTTCCCCAGAACTGTAATCACTGAAGCATGTGTCAAGATGGAACCAGAGTCCTTGAGTGACTATGACATGGCCATCACTGCTGCCAACCACTGTAGGCTGCAACATACAGGAGAAGTAAACTTCGTTCTTTTTAGTCACTGAGTTTTTAGGTTTATTACTGCAGCATAATCTTGCCTATTCTAATGAAACAGATAGAAACACATATGCACACTGATAGAGTTGCCTTTTTTTTGCTCAATTTCAGTTTTTTATGGCCATTTTTATATATTTAATTTATTTGAGACGCTTACAAAAAGGGCATTCCAATGTGTCTGTAGTGATTTAAATAAACTCTTTGAATAGATCAGTCTAATTAAGTTCATTCATTGAAAATTACTTTTAATAATTTAAAAAAACCCATACATCCGGTGTTTAAATGAAATATTTAAAATGTTCACCTTACGGAAGAATGGTACAATCCAGGAAACAACTTTGGTTCTACCACAGAAACCAAACTATACACTATGAAGTCTATACTAACATAGCTGACCCTCCACAGTTACTTACAAAATTATAAAAATTCATTTTTTTTAAGATTTTATTTATTTGACAGACAGAGCACAGCAGAGGGAGAGAGAGGGAGAAGCAGGCTCCCTGCTGAGCAAGGAGCCCGATGTGGGACTCGATCCCAGGACCCTGGGATCATGACCCAGGCCGAAGGCAGCCGCTTAACCGACTGAGCCACCCAGGCGTCCCTATAAAATTAATTTAAACACAAAGAATAATTCCTAAATTCTTTAAGGAAATTTTCTAGCAAAAATTAAAAGAAGAAAACTGATGAAGGCTTGCAGAATTCTAAATAAGAACTACATGTTTAAGACAGTATCTTTTTAAAGCTAATATCTATTAAGTTGTTGGTGGTAATGTTTACCATGTTAATTAATAAAAATAAAATTGGCAGAGACCTGTAACTTCCATTTCTGAATCAACTAATTAGAAATTTAAGCTCCAAAATCACTACAGTAAATTTATTTAAGATATATTTTGTGTATTATAAAGTTCTTTGGATATTTTACAAACTGAATTTACTAACGCAGACAAAAGTAATAAAACCCACATCAAAATATTTAGGCATGATACAGAGGGGAAAACTCAGTCAACTATTAAGTGAGACTCTCAAGTTTAAGGGCAGTCTCAACATCCCCAAGTTCCAGGGCAGCAATTTCTTTGAGTGTGATAGAATAAGAGTATTAAATCTCAAAGTGCAGAGAGACTATTACAGTAGTCAGTTATTGGACAATGTTGCCAACAGAAAGAAATGTGATGTTTCTGTTGGAAAAGTGAAGGTTCAAATCAACTTAACTATCCTACTGAAAATACTTGAAAAAATCCAAATCCAACCTGATCTAAATGTTGTTAATTTGCTTTTAAATACAGGCTTCACAGAAATTTCAGAAATCTGGAGATCTAAATTACAAAGTGTTATCTTTTCAACAATGCTTGCTTTTTTAAAAAAGGAGAGTGTTCTGATTCAGTCCATTAGTTTATGTCATTTAGGGCTATACGAGTTTATTTAGATAGTCTAGGACCTCTGAAAAAATCTTTCTGAACTACAGAAATATAGCTTCTGTACTTTCTTTGTTTTCAAGTGATCCAGCCTGTAACTTCCACTAGCAATTTTTGAACATTCAGAAAGAGGGGAGAGAGAGAGAGAGGCGCGTCATGTTATCTTTACTTCCACCTCTGAAATCGTATGTAAGAAAAGTTATGTGGCAATGGTAAGAGTGTATGTAGTCCTCACAGTGCTTCTCTAGGAACTTGTAGAAGGAGTTTGGGTTCGGCAACTGGCAAAACAGGAACCACAGTGTTAACCAATATTTACTTAATTATTAATTAGCTGGATTTTTTTATACAGGGAAAGCTTTGTTTTTAAAACTTGTTGCCACTACACCGCCATATTAAGTGGCTTGATTATTTTGTAAATATCTCCCCCTACTGGAAGTACCTGTTCTGCTTGATTGCATGCTTTGTCTTTACGTACTCTTAGTTTTTGTACACCCTTGATCACGATCCCATAGAGGTTTCTTGTAATATGGGTTGATTGGGCATGAGAGCAAGAGGAGCAAAGAGGCAACGGAGAAGCTATTTTCTGTAAATATGAGATCAGGATATCTCTAGGTACCTTTTTTTTTTTTGAAAACAGCAGAGATCAATATACAAGGAAAGACAGAAAAGTTAGATACACATATTAATTATGAAAATCTCAAGGTAGAGAAATGAATAATAACACTTCAAAACTAAAAATAAAATAGAAAAAATCAACCAATATATTTACATTTTTAAAAGTTTCAAAAATAAATGTCTGTTGTTTTATTTGAATGTTATCTAGCACTTTAAGGAAGACAGAGTACTGCTAGGATTCATAACTCATTGAAATTATAACTCAATGAAATTATAACTAACATTTATTGTGCATATGCTATGTGCCAGGAACCGCACTCAACAGTTTACATTTAATGGAACAGTCTTAGGAGGTGATTACATAGTGCTCTTATCCCCATTTCCAGAGGAAGAAATCGAAACTTAGAGGCTACACGTTAGCCATGTTTGCACAGACTCCAGATGGGTGAACCAAGGCAGTGTTCAGCCTTTGCCTGTAATTCCCAAATTTGATTATTAGCATGCCACAGCAGTAAGCTCAGTGGGCAAGAAATGAAAACAGGAAAGACAGGACTTAAAACCGCTAGGCAAGTGTATGACTGTCAGGATCAGGTCTAGCAAGAATTCCCTCTAGCACAGATCCATACCATGGTAATATCTTAAGATGGTTCATATTACTTTGTTCATGTTCTTAATTCTTTCACTTTATTTCCCTCAACACCTCCCGCTCTACCAGAAGTGATTTTAAGGTTTCAAGAAATTTAAAAAGTAATTTTTACACACAGAACAACTGATGTCTCTGAAAAAGAAATAAAAAGGCTTTATAATGAGATTTTGTTGTAGTATCTACTTCTATAAGTACAGCAACCCAACTGCTTCATGCCCAGTTTTAAAGCAACAATACCTTCATATGGCAGGCACTCAGTTAGTAAGAGAGGAATGGATGAATGAAAGCAGTTCTTTAATATACTCACTACTGCAGCCTCACCAGCTATACTAGGAGAAACAAATTCTAAGATTCTGTGGTGGTAGTGATCCCTGAGGCCAGCTGGAGGACTTCCATAGCACTGCTGAGCCTGTTAGAATGAAACCTCATCTCAGCCAATCATAAGGTGAGACAAGAGCGATTTAGAACATTTAGAATATGATACAAGATAAAATATAATTATGTGCTAAATTTTGAGGTTTAACCGTGTTACAGGAGTTAGGACAAAGGTCACTATTGCTATCACACAGCCTAGAACTGTCCCATGGCCCAGAATTTCAAGAAAAATCAATAGCGCCCTCTTAATAATAATCTTCAAAGGACATGGAAATGTATTATATTCACTTCTACATGAATATCCTACAGATGCCTCTAATTCAAAAGGTTCAAAATTGAAATGCACATTCTCATGCTCTCCAAACCTTTCCTTTCTCCTACTTCCTATCTTGTTTAATAATGTCCTTGCTCACTCAGTGCTGAAGTTAAGTCTTTACATTATCTTAAATGCTCCCTGTGCCCTCTGTCCACATATCCAGCCACCCATCTATCTTAATGTAAAAATGTCTTTCGTTGTGGAGCTAACCACCCTCCTTCCCTGTGCCCCACTATCACTACCAGAGTTCAAACTCCATTAACTCTCACCAGTGCTACTGCAATAGCTTCACAGGTGATTTTTTTTCTTACCAATAAAACTCCCATAAGCACAATAAGTGCTCATAAGTGTTGGCTGAGTTGAATTGAACATGTTTTCTAAAACAGAAATTTCCTTGTTTTCAATGCAAATTTAATTGAACATTTTAAGGCTGTGACTTCCACAATGAATGACTTAGGCTTTAATCTTTTATACTTTTTTAGTAGACTTCAACCAAAAGGTAAAGTCTATCTTGTTGAACTTGAAAATTATAGATGGGATGCATTAAATTTTATGAATGTTTGAATATCTCTATAATCCTATCACTTATGTAAGGAAGAAAATAATATATATACTGCTACTTTTTTAAAATTAATTTCTATCAT